AACGAGCAAACAAATCTTAATAATCAAAACAGAATTATCTGTCAAATTTGTAATAACTTGGGCCATACAGCTAAAAACTGCCTTTCAAATCCTAATCAACCAGCAAATTCTACTGACGGAACGTTTTGCCGTTATTGTAAAGAAAACGGGCACCTAATTGAAAATTGTCAATTGCGCATTGCAAGTAATAATCGTAAAAGACGTTTGTCACCCCCTCCACCTTCCCTCTCAAATTGCGCACAAAGGTTCCGCCCCGGGTAATAGGGATTCAATTCCTTGACCCAAAAAGAGAACCACGAGTGGTTGACTTGTTGACGGAGTAAAGACGACTCTTCCAGTCGCTGACCCGTCGCAAGTCCTAAACGCGCCGCTCGGCTCGTGCGGTCAGACCCGTTTACGCCGATCGCCGAGCCCAACGAAAAAAATTCTACATCTATCAGGACGTAACAGTATCTAAACAACTATAAAAATATAAAAGCGTCAGATATATGGTTAGAAGAGCTATATATATTGAAAAAATACTATAGTAATAACTAAAAAAGTATTACTAACATTTAATATTTTTGACACATTCCTTTATTAAAAACACACAATGTCTTCATCTATAGTAATATACAAAGATTTACAAGAGGAGAACAAAGAGTTGGATAAAAAAAAGAAGATACAGAATTAGATAAAATAAAACCACAAAAAAAAACGACTGAAATAATAATAGATAAAGGAAAAGAGACTGAGTTAAGAGTGATTATCGACGAACATGATTACGAATACATTCATAATGATATTAAGTACTTTAATAGTATTTCTTATTAGTATTAATATTAATATATTAACAAAAGCTTTAATGATTAACTATTTATATAATTATTAACAAAAAAAACTTTTAATAAATGTTGTTAATCTCAAATATCGTTTTGATATATATTGGATCTCAAAAAGAGAGTATTTATGACAAACGTTGATTAATTGTCATTTTAAAAGCACTTGAAATTTAAATATTGATTTTTATAACGCTTTTAGTAGTTTTACTAGACATTGTTAAATTTTAACTTTCGAATATAAATTATATATATTTGAAATTTTTTTATCGACATATGTACTAATTGTTCAATTTTAAACGTATAGAACTTTCTATCTTTATTATTTACGAAGTTATCGTCAGTTGAAATTTGATGAATTTTTCCCACATTTTCAGTGTGACGCTTTTTTTTTGGGTGAGTGTATATTGGTCTCTTCGGTTATCCCGAGTTTTTCGTATATAACTTTTTTCTCTCTTTCGTTCATTAATGGAATAACCTCTTGTATAGACTCTAACAATAATCTGAATGATATATGTTTGTTAGAAACACATTTATTAATTATTTTTACATTACAATTCTTACTAAGAGTAAAGTTTGATTTTTTAAAAAGTATCTCGCAATTTATATTTGATTTTGCTTCGATGTCTGATAATTTTTTATAAAAAATATTTGAAATTCTATTAAATAATAAAATAGATACATTATCCATATTTTTATAATTTAATTTATGAAAATATGACATGCAAAAATACTAAATACATTTATTTTCAGAAAGGATTGAAAATTACAGATTCTGAAAAAGAAGATGTTTTATCTGAGGAAATATCAAACGAAAATATTATATGTTGTAAACCGGAAGACATTTCAGATATAATATACGAAGACGCTGATATTTATTATCACGAATTTATATATAACTCATATAACAATTATATTAAATTGTTTTTTGATATAGATTTAAAAAAAAGATCTACAGATATAGACAATGTAGATATAGAATATATTAAAGGATTTTATAAAAATAATAATTAAATTCATAAAGACGTTAATTGTAGATAATAAATATAAGGTAAGTAATAATATAGATATTTTATCCAAGTATATATATAATAATGTTTGCGTTACCAAATCTTGTAACATAGAAAAAACATCATATCATATAATATTCAACTATGTATACTTTAATACCAACACACTTAAAGATTTAAGGTTTTCGTATTAGGGTTTATGTATTTTAACGTATCACCTCAGAAATGCTA